TGTGGAAGAGCTGACTGGAGTCCTGTGCAAATGTTAGATTTGAGGAGATTCAAGGAAGCTATAGTCACATATGGTATGCATTCCCCATTTGTGAAGCAGATGTTTAATTTGTGGTCAACTTGTAATAGAATTATCCATCAAGACTAAAGAGATTTGGTTACAGCTGTCACAGAAGCTGGTCCCCAATTACAATGGAGGTCCTAGTGGAAGGATGAGACTAAGACCATTGAACAATGAAGTAGGGCTAGAGGTATAGAAATCTCCCAAGATCAACTTCTTGGAGAGGGAGATCATGCTAAAGTAGAAAGGCAATCTCTACATGATGACCACACCCTGGCTTTATGCCGAATGGTTACCTTGAATGCTTGGGACAGAATTGAAGAAGTAGGAAAGAAAGTTGAGTCATTTACAAAAGTTATACAGGACCCACAAGAAACCTTTAGTGATTTCCTTTTTTTTTTTTTTTTTTTTTTCAGAGCTGAGGACCAAACCCATGGCCTGGTGCTTGCTAGGCAAGTGCTCTACCACTGAGCTAAATCCCCAACCCCTAAAGCTTTTTGTTTTGTTTTGTTTTGTTTTTTGTTTGTTTGTTTGTTTTCAAGACAGGGTTTCTCTATGTAGTTTTAGTGCCTGTCCTGGATCTCGCTCTGCAGACCAGGCTAGCCTCGAACTCACAGAGATCTGCCTGGCTCTGCCTCCAAGTGCTGGGATTAAAGGCATATGCCACCACGCCCCTGATTTCTTACAAAGGTTGTCTTCAGCAGTAAATAGAATGATACCAAATTCAGAAGCTAGATAGATAATAATTGAATCTATGGCTTTTGAAAATGCTAATACACAATACAAAAAGGGTAATTAGGCCACTAAAGGCAAGATCAGCACCCTTGGAGGAATGGATCTGAGATACAGTGAATATTGACCATGATGATGTTTGGATAGGAGAGGTGATTTCCAGAGGTTTGAAGGAAAATAATGTCAAATGTTTCAACTGTGGTAAACAAGGTCACCTAAAAAGGGACAGGAAACAGGGCATTCCTACAATGTTTTTTCAAGGAACAATGGCAACAGAATGCCCCTCCCTTCTGGATTATGTAGAAGGTGTGGCTAAGGCAAACTTTGGACTAAGGAATGTAGATCAACAAGAAACAAGGTAATCCTTTGCCTTTGCCATTGGGAAACTCCCCAAGGGGCCTCTCACAGGCCCCCATAACAAATTCTGTTCAGTCCTTTCCTGTCCTCATGGAAGAAACTCCTTCTCATAGCAATTAAAGAACCTAAAGTTTATTGTTTAAAAACAAAACAAAACAAAACAAAACAAAACAAAAACCATACTGCTCTGGATGATAGAACAGCTACAAAAGAAAGAACAACAAGTTCAGGGAAAACCATAAATCAAAATTTATAAAGATTAGATTTGGAAACTCCCCAAAGTTAGGGTTGGGGAAGGGTTTTGTTTTTGTCTTTCAGGAAAATAAAAATAACCATCTTGAAGAATTTAAAGACCTTTGAACAAATAAACAAAGAAGAAGAGAGAACTACCCAGAAAAAATTACCAAGGAAAGGAATAGTCTGACCCAATGTGATTTTTAAAGTCTCCAAAAAGATGATGGGATCTCACAACAATGATTCCATCAGGATGATGATACCACTAAGCTGACCAACACCACCCAAAGATCGGCTTTGGACTACAAACTGCTCAGGACAGTTTCGAGATAGCTAGCTTAGATGATCCAGCCTCACAGATTACTTGAGCAAGGACTTGAGACAAGCTCTGTACTTTCAAATTATGCAGAAACTAGACAATAAATGATACAGTTACCTCTCCCAGGACTTGACAATTAACCCAAAATTTTTCTTTTCAGGATCCCCTAAAGATGCCTTTGCCCCTAGACAGGAGGAAGTAATTTTAAAAACACAATATCCACATTCCCAACAGGTGAAGTGGGTAGTTTTTGGTCTTTCAATAGGCTATGGATAATTGTTATTGTTTAGGATGGTTGGTGACAAGTTGTTAATTGTTAATGGTCAGGGAAAAAGCTAAACAAGGGAAATCAGATTCAGAGTTCTTGTTTTAAAAAAGAAAACAAAAAAGAGGGTATAGATATGATAAGACAAAAGGTAGATTATTGAATCTACTCTCAAAAAAGACATAAAAATGAATAAAGGGTAGATTATTGAATCTATTTTGAAAAGAAAAAAGGATATGGATATGATAAGATAAAAAAGTAGATTATTGAATCTACTTTTAGAAAGTAACTACTCGTTTTAAATATTTTACATTGGATTGGATTTTGTATATTGTATACAAAATTTGCATATTGGTAAAAATTTGAGATTAATTTTGTTAGAAAATACTATATATATATGTATATATATATATATATATATATAATCTTGTTGAAGGTGTTATACTTATACAGCACATTTAACAACAGAATGCAAATTGCTAGTCCTTAAAGGTTGTTATATCCAACTAAATAGGATATAAAGAAATACAAGTTAATATTTAGTCACCTATTACAATTGAACTTGTAGTCATATTAGGTATGTTTTCAAGGCCAAACAGAAATATATTTTAGATAAACAGGTCAACTTCAAACACTTCAGAGATCTATAGAATATGGCATTTAAAATGTTTTAATAACATAGATTATTTTTTTATGACAGTGAGACATGTCTGCTCCTGGCAGCACCAGTATATTTCAGAGATGATGATGGATGGGCATTGAAGAAACTCCATATGGAGTTTATTTTCACTGTGGCAAAAGTTAGCCACTGGGCAAGAAACTGCCCTTGCCTTGACTGCTGACAGTATGTTGTCCAAGCTGGACAAACAGAACACAAAAGAAAGTGACTGCCAATCCTTGCCAAGGTAAGATAGGAAGTTCCTTTAGAAAATTCTGCTTCACAGATGAGTCTGTCAGATATGCTAGGTCTGTAAGCCAAAGATGGATGCTCCAATGTTGCAGAGAAATCTTCGGTGACTGTCCAGGCAGCCAGCTATTTCTGTCATTTCTCACATTTTTTGGAAGTCGCTTGTCTGCATTTCCTGCTTACTTAGGTAATATTATTTCCTTCTTGGGTCTCTGAGGGAGTTGAAGATGAGATAGTTATAATTTTCCTTGTTAACAAATTCAGAAAAGAAACTCACCAAAGAGGTGTAAAGTGTATGTTTGAAAGATATCAAAAGATCTAGGCATAACACATATATCTAGAAATGAGCTCAAATTGTGTTGTATTTTAAAAATGGTGTGCTGCAGGCATGACAGGTGGCAGCCATGGAGAGAGATGCACCATGCAGACCGTACTCACGTGGAGAGTTTTATTGAGGGGAAAGGAGAGACAGGGGCTGAGGAGAAAAGAGGAAGAAGAGAAGAGAAAAAGAGACAGGAGAGGGGGGAGAGAGGAGGTGCAGATGCCATCTCATGGGAATAGAGAGAAAGTGGGTGGGGATCCACCCTTTTATGAGGGGATGTCACATAATGTGCAGAGAGACCATGTAGCAATGAGTGTATGATGTCAGGACTGTGAGCGGGCCCAGGTATTGCCTGCATGTTGGCCAGGTCCCCAAGGGGTGGGTCTGAATGCTAACAAGTTGGACTATAGGAGGATTTTTGGTGGTTAGACAAAGCCAGCATTCTACAGGAACACGTGAAAATGGTTTTCTGTCTCCAGGAGCCCCTCCCCCCAGCTGCTCGTCTTCTTTATGGTGTAAAGTGAGGACATATGAGAGGTTATGCTGCAGATATGAGGGACAGAACAGGCAGAGGCATCTGGAAGAGTCCAGAGCAGGGAGAGAAGTGGTACACTGCACATGACCAGCGGAGTGCACTGGGCCATGAGTAGAGGAGAGTGAGAGTGAAGAGTGAGGGGACCAAGAAGAACAAGGGAGCACATGGCTGAGATTGCAGCAGCGTTGTACAGGAATGAGAAGCTGGGGGAAGGGAAGGCCATGACTGGCAAAGTTCAGGGTAGGGGGCAGGTGAGAAGAGCTGAGAGGAGCCACAGGTGCTGAGTGAGCCTAGAGGCCAGCATGCACTTTGGTATGCTGAAAGGCACCAGGGTTAGCCATTTGCCTACTCCTGCTCTCTTTTGCCTCTCTTGCAGACAGCCCTGGCCATACCCAGTCGGCTTCTCTTTCTGCGTTGGACTTTTCCGGAAGGCTCTGGATATTTTCTCTCTCTTACTCACATTAAAAACCTTCCCCCAATGGAGCGGCCATTTCGGCCGTTCCTTCATTGCGTTCCCTCTCATACAACACTGACCGTTATTATTACTGAATGAAAAAAAGAGAAATAAGAAAAAAAGGATGGACATGACTGCTCCCAGGTATGGTGGAGGAGAAAGTTTATTGTAGATAAAAGGGAGACATAACCAGAGTCAGAGACATCTGGGAGAGTCCAGAGTGGTCATGACCCTGAGCCATGTGAGGGCAAGGGCAGTGTATAACCGGTGTAGCAGCCAGGAGGCCTAAAGAGAGCAGGGGTAACCAAAATGGTTGGATTATCTAGGGAAGAGCAGCTGAGAAAAAGGGAATAAGAAATTTAGGGGAGGGGTAGGGTATGCGAGCCAGGAGGGCCCTGTAACGGGTAGGGATTGAGGGATGCAGAGAGAACCTGGCAGCCGGAGTCCACTTTGCTACATTAAATAGGCACCTCAGCTGTTTGCTCTGGGTTTGAAAGCTAACAATTACATTGTTTCCTTCCCTGTTATAGTGAGAGCGAGGCCCAAAGTTGCAAAACGCTAATTCCAGCTACCTGGGAGACTGAAGCCTAAGGATTACAAATTGAAGTCCAACGTGGGCAATTTAGCAGGAGATCCTATCTCAAAAAGAGATACAAAGTTAAAAGAGGGCTGGGGATACCGGTCAGCGGGAGAGTGCTTAGCGTGTGTGAGAGAGACTCGAGGTTTGATTCCCAGAACAACCAAAAACATTTTTAAAAAGTAAGTATAACAGAAATGATTTTTGCTCTCTCAGAATCAGAATATCCAGTCTTGTGTTGTGTATACTCAAAACATGTTTTACTCATTGTTTCGTCTGCATTTCAGAAGCATCTTTGGTGTACTATATTGGGTCCAACTTCTTCAAATTCTGCAGCAGTGATCCACATGTCTTGGAAGGCAGACAAGGATGCAAGAATAGAGCCCCCCATCCACACTGATATTTTCCTTTCTGGGGGAGCTATAACCTGTACAGCGGTATTGGCAGGTGCCACCTTGGCCACATCCCTAATGAGTCGCTTATCCAAACCAGGAAAAGAGGTGGATCCTCCAGCAAGGATAATATTGGAGAAGAAGGAATTCCTGAGATCTGTATCACATCTCATTATGCTGCTGAAGCACATCTTATCTATGCCAGGAGCATCGACATTCACAAGCCATGGAGAGAAGAGAGCCTCTGGGCAACGAAAGACCTGGTTATGGAGTCTGAGTGTCTTCCCATCAGGAAGTGTGTACACTTTTTCTAGGCCCGGTTCCTTGGCCATTTCCTCCTCATAATTCATTGCCACATAACAAATATTCTCCTTAATGTCTGTAATGATCTTCCTGTCCCCAGTTCTGAGCAGCATGACACCATCGTCCTTCAGCAACATCATGAGGTAGTTGGTGAGGTCAAGCCCTGCCACATTTAGCTGCTTCACACCATGAGTTAGACAGTAACCCTCAAAGACAGGCACACACTGAGTAATCCCAGCCCCTGAATTCAGCACCAGGCCAGTGGTGAAGCCAGCAGCAAAGAGCGCCAGTACAGCCTGGACAGACAGATAGAAGGCAGGAACTCCCAGGTTTTCAAAAAACACTTCAGAGATGCGCTGCCGATTTGCCAGTGGGTTCAGTGCCGGCTCTGTGACTAAGACTGGGCCATCACTGGGCTTCATGCTCAGGTTGTAGTCATAAATATGCTTCCACATGGTCTCCATGTCCCCCCAGGAAGAAATGAGGCCCCGGTCCACGGGATAGCTGCGGGGGAGAGCAATGAAACATGTAAGTCTTGTGCTTCTGTGGTTGTTGTTAGGCTGTTAGTGGTGATTTTTAGATTTGGCTTCTAAACACACACACACACACACACACACACACACACACACACACACACACAATTATTTGATAGTTCTTGTTTTGAGACAGGGTTTTACTGTGTAGCCCTGGCTAAGCCTAGAACTCAATGTGCAGACCAAGCTAGTCTGGAATTCAGCCCCCGGCCTCTGCCTCTGCTGGGATTAAAGGCGCCTAAGTCTTTAATACTTACCCTCTCTGCTTTTTCAGCTAAAGTATCAGTATTGCTTTCCTGTCAGCAACGGAAGGTAAGTACCAGTAAACGGCATAGCTACCTTTCTCTTCAGTCACTTTGCTTGGCCAGTTTTCTCCTCTTGGGAGAATGTGACTTCAAAAAGTTGGGAAATTCCTACATTCTGGTAGAGTTGTAAATAGTTCAAGAGACAACACCAAATGACAAAGCTATAAATTAAGCCACATTCTTAGGAGGACACGCATAGCACGATCACTATATACATTTGAATACATCTGTGTACAGAGTACAGAGGTTTTTGCGAGTGGGGTGGGGCTGACTGAGGCCTTCGGGTTTCTCTCCCTGGTCCTTTCTCGGTGGCTTTAGCTCTGGACTCTTCGCCCTCCTCCACATCCACCCAGGCCGCAGCATCCCGCGGTACCTGATGGACAAGAAGCTCCTGCGCTCCTGCGCTTGGTCACCCACACACAGCTCCAGCGCGCAGTCCACCGCAGTGTTGTGGCCCTTGGTCCGTCCTAGAATGTTCGGGTAAACGAACTGGGGCTCCCGGGTCCCAGCCAGGCCCGCCTTGATCATTTCAGAGCCGTTGTCGATCACCACTGGCAGCTGGTATCCGCTCATGCCGCCGGTGCCGCCGCCTCTGTGGCCTCGGGGCCGCTGCTCCAGGGCTGTGCCCGGACAGGTGCCTGGAACGCGGCGTCACAGAGGACCCAAGCACCCGCTGGCCCGTGCGACCGCTTCTCGCTCTGCCCCTGGGAACTCGCAACATTCAGACCAGAAAACTGGGCTTCCCTCGCAAAACATACAAAACTAACAATTTGCAAGGGACTTTCTCGAAAACTATGAAAAGCTATTTTTTTTTTTTTTTTTTTTTTAATGACTGTCCCAAAGCCCTTGAACTTGAGTTAACAGGAGTGTTTCAGGGCCAGGGGGAAACTGGTAATGTCCTTGAAACGGGAGAAGGGCCTAAGAATATTGCAGGAAGGCATGGTCTTGCTTCTGAAACGCTCAACTTCGGGGGTGGGGGGTGTTGGAGTGTGAAAGGAGTTTATGTCCTCTATGTATAGTAGACAATGCCACGTCTTTCCTGCAGTTTCTAAAAATGTACGCAATTTAAAGGGCAGAACTTTTTGGTTGGTTTGCAAGACATTTTAGCACAGGCTGGCCTCGAACTCACCAGAATTCCCCTCTTCTGCTTCTGAGTTCTGGGGAGTTCGGCTCCCCCCTCCTCCCTGCCCTTTCTCCTTCCTCCTCCTCTCTCTCCTTCCCCATTCCTCCTTCCTTTTCTTTCCTCTTTTTCTTCATCTTTTTTTGATTATCTCTCTAGGTCCTCCGAAGCTAATTTTCATTTCCTAGGGGTGATTTTTAAGAATAAGGACACGTCTGCCACTTGGTAAGAAAAGAAATTCCTTAGATCCTTATGAAGTTCAGTTCAAAGTACATTGCGCGGCAAAACGAGCGTCTTTGGTGTCTGATCTCGCGCGTCCCTGGTTTAGGGGCTTTAAAACTGGTACAGATTAGAACCTTTGGTAGGTATTTGGAAGCAGGATAGGAAAAAAAAATAATAATAATTTACACGTCCTCCCACTAGAAGCCGGCCGAGGCGTAGTTCTGCGCCACAGCTATGGGTATGGGGTCCCATACCCCACAGTTCCCGGGCTCTGGGACCCTGGCGACTGCGCGCCACAGCTTCCCCAGCAGGAGAGCACAACCTGCCGGAACTGAGAGGAAAACGGACCAGAGGGCCTGGTCTCCAGCGGTGCACCGGCCGGCCGGGCTTTGCAAGAAGTTTGCAAACAAGTTCAGACTTGGGAATAGTTTCAGCGCTATTCAGTTAACTGTATGGTCCCCCACCCCACCCCCAATTGAAAATTACAAGAGTCTTGGAACGTTTGTGAAGCGTGTATGAGAACATCACATATCAAGAACCTTTCAGCACTCAAGCCCAGCCAAGTTTCCGTAGTGTAGTGGTTATCACGTTCGCCTAACACGCGAAAGGTCCCCGGTTCGAAACCGGGCGGAAACATGATGTCTCATCTTTTTAACCAATGCTGTCTGGATTCACTTTTCAAAAGCTTGGCTCTCAAAACCTTGAGGACAAATCCTGTACGTGGCGATTTGCCCACCTGAAGAAATACATTAAGAGAACCGTTTTCACTCAACTATGTTAATGTTGGAAACACCCCTATAGCCAGAAGAGAACACCAAACAAAAAAAGAGCTGATAAGGTAGCTATTGGTCCTAGAAGGATCAAACGAAACCAGCTGTAGCTGGAACATTATTATACAGCCTTTAGTTCTCCCTCTGGAGTTCTCCATTTTCCCCTTCCACGCCAGGCTATGTTGTATTCTTAATCTGTGTGTCAAGTTCACGATATATCGCAAAGGGCTCGACAAGAGGGTGAAATTAAAAGTAAACTTATACTCAGAAATATAAAATAAAGAAGCAGCCTCAACGTTATTCTTATAAACACGACTGTGGTTTTATTCACAAATTCTTACAGAGATGTTATAATGCAAAAGATTCCGGTATGGGGAAAGTCTCAGATTTTTTGAGACCGTCTTTTCAAATAAAGTCCCGGGCAAATTCCTTAAGGTCCAGAAACATAACTTTTGACAGCAACAAACATTTAAGTTGTTGTTTTTAAGATTTATGACGTCCGCAGGTTCTAGGGAGGAATCTATCCGAACACATCAAAACTTTCTGGCACTTTCGTATAGTGCAGCGATAACTCTGCGCTTCTTCCTTTACGGCACAAAATCTGAATTCGATGTAAATAACTGCTAAAATTGTTCTGGTTCAGGGGCAGGAAAACCTTTTTCCGGTAGAAAGCCCACCTTCCTCTCGTGTTGCGCATGCCCAGTGTGCCCTGCTGCTTTGCTTTGCTTTCGTGCATCTCTGCCTTCCGTCACCAGGTAAGGGCATCCTGGAAGATGAGCTTCAGTGGCCGGCTCAAACAGAACTCTGGGGGTCCCAAGAGCTTTCGGGAATGCAAAAGAGGAAGGAGTGATTGGTCTCGACTCAAGCACATCCCTCCCACCCGCCACGGTCAGGAGCCAGGGTGCACAGCGCCGCAGTCTCCGCTGGAGGGGCGCTAATGAAGAGAGGATGACAGGAGAGGGGAAGAACTACAATTCCCAGCATGCAGTGCGCAGCGCGGCTCCGGGAGAGGCCGGCCGTGCGCTCGAGCGGGGTCTCAGCCCGGAATCCGGGCCCACGGCTGCGGGCTGACAAGGTGAGCGTCTGGCGTAGGGTGTGAGTGAGCACTGAGGTGTGTTCCGGCGCCCCGGGTAGGCCTCTGGGAGCCAGCTCGCCCGCCCTGGCGGACCTCGGCAGTCCCATGGCCCGTGTCCCCACTGGCCCACACAGCCGGACGTGACGCTACAGCGGAGGAGGAAGGGAGAGGCGGAGCGTCGCGGTGACGTCCTCCCAAGATGGCGGAGAGAGAGTGAGGAAACTGTTTCCCTTGGGCGGCTACCGGTGAGTGCCGCCCTCTGCCTGGCCTGCGGTCCTCGCGCGCCTGGATCCCGGGGTCCGACGGGGCCTGGCGCCTTGCAGAGCGGGCGCGCTTCGGGGTGGAGGCGGGTGTCCTGGGAGAGGCAGCCTCGGCGGCGGCGGGCGCTGCAGCCCGTGGGAACTCGCGGGAGTGCGAGCTGGGAGGAGGGCAGGGCAGCGGAGGCCGGGCGGGCGGCCGGGCGGGCTGGGGCTGTCACTCCGCCGCTGCCCGGCCTGCAGCGGCCGGCAAGGGGTGTGTCCTCCCCCGGGGAGTGACGGAGGCTCTGACACCCCGCGTCTGGTGCGGCGTTCCCGCCCCCTTGCACCTGCCTGGCGCTTGGAAGGGACCGCACCGGCTGTGCCTACAGGTTTCCGTGATCAGAGAGCGATTTAAACAACTCGCGCCCCGTTCCTATCCCCGCGTCCCCAGGCAGTCAGTTCTTTGTTCAAGCACCTCCAGATAAATATTCCTCCTGAGCTTGAAAGTTTGAGAGGTCAACTATAAAAGCTTAGGATTTTAAGACCCTTTTACAGCTCATGACGCTGGTTTCCTTCATTTATTGCATTAGTGTCCCAGTGCATTAAAACAAAGAAAGGCACATAATCACCGTGTGTGTTTGATCAGGCTTTGGGGAAGGGGGCGCGGGAAGTGAGAACTCCATTCTTCCTGTTTAGTCTTGTTCCTTCTCCACTCTCCCGTCTCGGCCTGATCTGATGAGGGCTGATGGTTATTGATTCGCTGTTTCTTTTTGTCTTTTAGATCAAGGGTAAAATTCCATTCTGATATCAAAATGCAGTATTCACACCACTGTGAGCACCTTTTAGAGAGACTGAACAAGCAGCGGGAAGCAGGATTTCTTTGCGACTGTACCGTAGTGATTGGCGAGTTCGAGTTTAAGGCGCATAGGAATGTGCTTGCCTCCTTTAGTGAGTATTTCGGTGCGATCTACAGAAGCACTTCTGAGAACAATGTTTTTCTTGATCAGAGTCAGGTGAAGGCTGACGGATTTCAGAAACTGTTGGAGTTTATATATACGGGAACTTTAAATCTCGACAGGTAAAGTACACGTTTTTACTCAGTTATAAAAGCTAGTCAGTCTTCAGAGCTAAAATAGATTCATATTTTTTTTAACCATTCACTCTCTACACTCATTCTCAGTGTTGACAAGCACTATTATATGCATACACATGTGTTTGTGTGTGTATGTGTATATATACATATATCTGTACATATACGTACTATACACAACATACATCACACACACACACACACACACACAGCTTCATTAGCTTTGTTTAGGATGAAAAGATGTTTGATAACCACAAAAAAAAAAAACCCTTAAAATCAAGAATTCTGTCCGATGTACTTATTCACTTGGGGGAAAAAAGCTCTCTATTTGAATTTTGCAAATGTGAAGTTTTAAACAGTGACTTCTAAGTGAATTTGAATTGCCCGTTGCTTTTGGTCTTGGTGTTCCTTGGGCCTTCTTCCCCACTCTGTCCCTTGCTTCTTATGAGGTTTTGGAGTAGTGTTGAAAGAACCACCTCTGGCTCATGTCCTAGTGCTTTGACTGCTAACTCATGTAACAATGTGCATGACTTTCTGATCATGGTTCTAGAAGGTAACTTTGTGGGAATATGAGTAACAATAACTCTGTCACTGTTGTTAACCTACCCAAAGCTCCAGTCAAGCCAGAGGTTTACTGTGCTGCTCTTCAGACTCTAACTCCTGGCCCCAGTGGCGCCTCCAGTGGTCAGGTGCTTGCCGTGCAAGTGTGAGAATCTAATTTTGGATTCCTAGCACCAACAGGAAAGCATTTGTGTAATCCCAATGCTGCTGGGGTGGAGCTCACTAGCTGGCCAGCCTGCCCAGCAGAATCTGTGAGCTTCAGATTCAGTGAGAGCACCTGGAAGATACCGAGTCAGCTGTGGCCTCCACACACAAATACACGTGCATCTGCATGTCCATGTGCACACGAATGCACACATACTGCTACCTCCAAAGATGCTTGCTGCTGCCCCTTCAATAGCAAGTAGGTTTTCAGAGTCTCAGAGTAGAGATATATTGTTTCCTCTATATGAAAATTAGACTAATAGTGATACATTCCTAGTTGTAGAAGAAGAGGTAGAGAGGGAAAAAACAAAATCTAGTCACATTATACTTGCCTTCTTTCCTTCATTTAGACTATTGACTGATAGAACAGATTTATAGGTCAGTCATGGTGGTGCAGGCCTTTAATCCCTGAACCTGGCAAGTAGAGGCAGGTGTATCTCTGAATTCCAGGCCGGCCAGAACTACCGAAAGAAAAAATTATAGACATTGGAATTGTATCTCTCTGGCTGGCTGATCATGTATCTCCATTAATAACGCCTCTCTGGGCCTTAATCTCCTCATAAAAGTGAGTAGTAGTAACTATTGGTGTTATTTTAAAGATTAAGGGAAGATTCCTTGAAGCCCCCAGCTTACAACGAACATTAGTTTACTTTATGTTTTATCTCTTTACTCTGTGCCCTGTTAAGGTCTACATTTCTTTTTTTTTTTTTTTTTTTTTTTTTTTTTTTTTTTTTT